AGGGCAGAGGCTGTGGGGAGGGAGAAGACACGGGGGTTGGAGGTGGAAGGTCTTGGGACAGGGGAAGGCAAGAGAGCTCTGTGGTTGAGCTCTGGGTCCAGACCCTGGTCTGCAGTGTCTTCGTGTGTGATGTGGAGCAAGGGGGGCTCGTGTCTCTGCACCTCCCTTTCCTCCCCTGCAAAGAGAGAGAATGATGGGGTTGGTGAAACTAAGAGGAACATGGGGTTTTCCACATGTGCTGTCTTGACCCTGAACAGCTAGTCCTGTGGTCTTCCAGGGCATTTTGGACAGAGTTCCTTCTCTAATAGAATTCTTCCACCAAGTGACACAGGTCGCTGTGGGGCTGCCCTGGTGCAGGGATTCCCTGCCCACCTTCTGGGCCCCCTCCCCCCACTGCTGGGGCACCAGACCCCAGGGTGTCCTGACCCTTGAAAACCACTCATCTAGAGTTGGGGAAGGGCAGGACCTGCACGGTTCATAGAGTCAGGCCCTTTGCCCACCCCAAGGTACCTCCAAGGACCCATCTGGCCTCCCTCTCACCCTGTCTCCTTCCTGTCCCCTCCCCCAGCTGGATGCCGATGATGCCAAGGCCACCTTTGATGAGGAGGAAGGTCATGATGAATACGACGAAGTGCCCATGCCTGTGTGAGGGGCAGGTCCAGGCCCCAGACCACCCCCACTTCCACTTCCCCACCCTCCCAGGAGAAGCAGTTCGTGGGCATCTCATGGACTCCTAAGTCCCTCCTGGGACAGCAGCCGGGGTCCCAGGGCTGTGGGTAGGGAAGGAAGGGATGCCTAGGGAACCTCCCCCAAAGGTAATGTGGCTTTTCTGGCTGGAGAGGCCATAGGGGCCCCTAGGAGAACTTGCTCTGCTGTCCCTCCTGCTGCCACACTGCCACGTGGGCATCCCGTGCTGGAAGCCTTGGTCTGAGCCCGACTGCTCAGGGCACAGGGAGGGGCAGAAGCAAAGGTGAGGGGGGGGCAAGTTCCTGCTTGCTGTAGGACTTTGGGTGAGTCCCTTGACCTTTCTAGCCTCTGCTTGCTCATCTGTAAAATGGGTATATTGATAATGATACCCACATTACAGAATGGTTACTTAGGACCGAAGGTAACGTGAAAGGGGGGCTTTGGAAACTCTGGAAGGGCCACTCTCAACAGACACTGTTGTCCACTGAGTCTGCCCGGGGTCAGAGTTCCTGAGTCCTACTGCTAGAATCTGAACCAGGTCCTCCAACCCCAAGGCCAGCGCTCAATCCTGTCGGCCATTCACCTCCCTATGCTCCCAAATGCCCCCCACTATGTCCTGTGTCTGCTTCCACCTCTACCTTGAGACCCTCTTCTCTGGGGCCAGAGGAGTATCCTGGGAGGGCAAGGTGCAGGTGAAGATACCACGGGCCTGGGGTGCAGGGCTCCCAAGTGCTTGCTCCTGCCCCCCAAACCCTTATTCGTTCACTAATTGGCTCATTCTGCAAACACTTACTGAGGGCCCTGGACCCTGGAGACAGGACTGAGACAGGACCTTGCCCTGGGATGGGGATGAGGGACAACAGTCTGTTCTAGATTTGAATTGTGGAGGGAGGGTAGGAAGTTGGGAAGAGACTGCGGAGGGCGGGGGAGGGGATTGTAATTTATTAATTGTGTATTTTCTAAGAGCTTTCATGATACTTCAGCTTCACGCCTGCCCAGGGCCCCCACTAGAGGCTCACTGCCCCCTACCCCATCCACACCGAATCTTGGTTTGGGATAGGAGACAGTGGGCTTTCCAGTGCATGTGCAAATCTATTTTTTTACAAAACAAAAATATAAAAAGAGTTGAAAGAACTGCAAGCGGTGGGAGATGGGGAGAAACGGAGGGTCAGGGCGTGGGAGGAAACAGTGCTGAGGGCTCCAGATGGAAGGCTCAGAGGCCTTAGGACTCCATGTGCTGGGGAGGGAGGGTTCCAGCCAGGCAGAGCTGTGGGTGCCTCCGTCAATGCAAGGCTCTCGGGACACTCGCCTCCCACCCCTTCACCGTCCCACACCTCAGTTTCCTCATCTGTAAAGTGGGATGACCACGGTACCTACCTCGTAGGGTTGTTACAGGATTAAACGAGAGAGTGCAAGTAAAGCCCTTGCTTGCTTAGTGAGGAACGCTGCTCAGAGGGGGAGCTGCTGGTACCCTTGTCTGGTGGCAAAGTCCCCACCCACTCCCCTTCTTGACATTGCTAAGGAAATATTGCTAAGGAAAGTGAAATAAAGTTGCCCACTCTGCTAGTGCCCTTCCCCTCCACGCTTGGGAATAGGTTTTGCCAATAAACACATCTGGTTGGAATGGATGCCTTGCTTCAGTCCCCTTCCCAGAGTCGGGGATCCCAGGGGTCATGGCTGGACCAGGTGGGCCTCCTTCCCCTCCTGAGTAAGCAGGACCCTAGGGAGAGGGGGCTTGTACGGGACCTTGCCCCCTGCCTCTCGTACCTAAGGACCTCCACGTCTCTTTGAGCCAGTCAATTCCGTCCCCCCGCACTCAACAATTTGGGACAGCACCTTGGAGAGAGATCCCCAGAGAAGAAAAGAGACCCAGAGAGAGAAGGCGACTTGCCGAAGGCCTCACAGGATCAGTGTCTCTTGACCGGCTTTCATTTGGCTTCACCCGGGTCCCCTTTGGAGGTTCTCCTCCAGCCACTTCCAGCAGTTCTAGAAGTTGTTGGGCCAGGTGTCACTTATCCCTGGAGAAGAGGGTGCTGGGACATTTCCCCTCCCTCCCCACCCTTCCCAGCCTTCTAGCCCAAGGTCAGCGCATGGCTGGCCGCCTGGCTTCCTTCCCTGGATCTATATTTACTCACTGCCTATCCCTGGCTGACCCTCCCAGGCTGGCCGGAGCTGCCAAAGGGCCAGAGAGCGAACCGGCCCCAGGGAGAGCAGTCGCAGAGCCCACCTCCCACACACTGCACACACACACTGAGTGTCCCCACAGCACGGGCCCTCCTCCCCAGACATGCCAGACCCCCATTCCCCATCTCCATGTACCCAGAAGCCAGGCTATGAGACTGGCCTGCCAGGGCCCAGGCTGAGGGTATCCCCACCCACTTCCCGCCCCCAGACTGGGCAAGACAGTCCCCTTTCTGGACCTTGGTTTCCTGCCAGTCAATCCTTTCCTGCAGATCGTTCCCATCTCCTGAGGGAAAAACCGGGGCAGGGGGACTTGGGGACTAAGTGCTGCTTCAATTTAGGAGACAGCCTCCTGTACTACCAAGGATCAAGCCCCTCTCCAGGATCTTCTCTCAGTTCTGAGACAGTACCGAGACCCAGGCACTGAGGGCGGCTGGGCCTGGGCTGGAAACCCTAGGGTGCATCTACTCAATGGGGTTCCATGACCAGCTATTACTAGGAAGTTTGCCAGAAATGCAGAATTTCAGGCCCTCTCCCAGAAATGGTAAACAAGAATCTGTTTATTTATTTATCTCTTCCAAGTGAGAAAGAGAGAGAGTTACCCACCCCGAACAGGGTCTTCACACTGTAACCCGCCCTGGTCTTGTTCAGCCAGGATCATGGACAAGTGGAGGTACCAGGTGTACGCAGGGTAACAAACCCAAGGCCTTCCTGAGGGGTCTGGTTGTGTTTCTTTCTCTTTTTCTTTCTTTTTTTTTTTTTTTTTCTTTTAGAGATTTTTGCTAGAGTGCACATGCACTTGCCAGAGAGACAGAGAGGGACAGAGACAGAGACAGAAAGTGAGAAATCATTGCCCGGGGGTATGGCCACATCACAATCCCTTCTCCTCCATTCTCCTCTTGGGATTTTGGGTATGCACACACACGCGCCCAGCGTGAGTTTTGGACTTGAACCGCGATGGACTACGTGGGAGTCCAGTGACATAACCATTTTGCTATCTGCTGGTCCTAGAATCTGCATTTTTAAACAGATCCCCAGGTAATGTGGATACAGCAAAGAAAGTTTAGAAAAAGACAAAGGAGTGGGGCCCAGGGTGTGTAGACCCCCCACCTCTGCCCACCCATCTCACTCCTCCTATATATTTACAGAAGATTCTGGGCCTTCCTGATGGAGTAGAGGGAGCTTAGGGTTGGGGTGGGGCATCAGGTCAAAGAGGGGGTACTGGACCTGTCGAATCTCCCAAACAGCTCGAGCCAGGAGGTCTTAGGGAAATAGGAAGGCCCCCAGAATGCACCGGGATCCTAGTCTTCCTGCCTGGCCTGAGGCCTGACTCCCCCTCACTTCCTGTCCCTTGCGTGACCTACCCCTCCCTCAGCTCAATCCTCATCTTACACGCTTTCCCTCAACATGTCTGTCGTGTTCTCTCAGGGTCAGCCCTGTTGCGAATACTACCTCGATATGAACGAACTGCTGCGAGGAGGCTCCCACCGTGTGTGAACACAGAGCAGCACCATCATGCAAGGGACCAACAAAGTCAGTAGATCTGTCTGAACACGTTCTTCCCAGGGCTATCTATGAAAGCAAAAACCTTGAAGTGTTAGGGTGAGATGGTGACGCAACAGTGACACGCGATGCTCTGCTAGGTTGACCCACACAAGACGCTTCCGGGTTCCCGTCCAGGGACTCCCCCACACCAGGCCTGTGCAAGCCCATAGGCTGGGGCTAGGGCCGGTGAGGCTGGGAGTGGATTATGGCATCGAGACCCTCTTGAAGGGTCTCTCTCTCTCCTGTCACTCTCATTCGTGGAAGAAATAAACTTTTTTAAAAAGGAGAAAGAGCCCGAATGCTAAAAACTAGAGGACAGTTGTTAGTAAATTATGGTAAATTACTTTGCCTTGGTGTAATGGGCCACTAGGCAAGCCTTGGAAAGAAAAACTGTGAAGAAACAATTGGAGCATCAGGAGCCGGGACGTGAGGCCAAGGTGTCTGTAACTCCAGCTCTGTCATTCAGCTTGGCCAAATGCTGTCTGAGCTCGGTTTTCTGCATTGGTAATGTGGACATAACTATCCTCGCCTCATGGTGCTACCGAGAGGATAAAACCATACCACATACCTAAAAAGCTCCTAGCCTAGTGCTGGCATAAAGGAGACGAAAATCCATTCATGTTTGAGCTGCCAGAGAACGTCCGTGAGAGGAAAAGTGAGAAATCACCCCCCGGGGATGGCCACGCAGCATTCCCTTTTCCTCCATTCTCCTCTGGGGATCTGGGGCACATACAGCATGGTTTTTAAGTTGCCAGATTCAGGACTCGAACTGGTTAACTATGTGGGATCCAGTGCCTTAAAAACCATTCATTCCTGTTTCTTTTGTTTTATTTTGTTTCTTTTTTTACTTATCAACAGTTTTTTTTTTTTTTTTATTCTTTTTCCTCTTCTCTCTCTCTCTTTTTTTTTTTTTTTTTTTACTTTTTTGGTCATAGGCCCTCCTCATCCCTTTCCTTGGAAAGATGGTAAAAGAAAATCAACCAGCCTTATAGCAGATAATAAATGAGTTGAAAAATCTCTTAAGGAAATGCTTAGACTCTCCAGGTAAAATTTTTTTTGGCTCTCAGACTTCTCAGACTTCATCCACAAATGTTTTGTATAGATGTATAGCAGCTTGGGAGTCCAGCGACATAGCCATTACGCTAACTGCTGGTCCCTTCTTCCTCTCTTCATCTTCTTCATCTTGCTCTTCTACCATTTTTGCTGCAACCAAAGCAGGACTCTTTGCCCCAACGAACGTGCCTTTAGGTTCACAGTGGGCAACATCCTTCTCCTTCAGCTCTGTGGTCTTCATGATGCAAGGCTGCTTCTCACTGTCACTTAAGTTGTTCCACATCGCACCCAGCTTCTTTGCCATGTCTCCAACAGAGATGCCAGGGCCGGTGGGTTTAATCTTGGGGCAAAATTCTGAACAGGACAGGAAGAATCCAGATGGTGGCCTTTTGTGGACATTAGGGTCCTTTTTCTTCTTGCCTCCCTTAGCTGGGCCATAACTCTTCATCTCCCAGTCATAGCGTACTTTATCCACCTTTGCCATTTCATTACATTTCGACTTCTCGAGACCAGCAGTTGGCGTAATGGCTATGTCACTGGACTCCCATGTAGTCGACCGCGGTTCAAGCTCCTGGACCCGGTGACTTAAACTCATGCCGGACGTGTGTGCATACCCAAGATCCCGAGAGGAAAATGGAGGAGAAAGGATTGCAGTGTGGCCATCCCCACGGGGGGGAGGGGGGTTGATTTCTCGCTTTCTGTCTCTCTGTCTCTTTTGGTCTTTCTGGCGAGCACATGTGCCCTATAGCAAACACCTCTCCAAAAAAGAAAATAATAATAATAATAATAATAATAATAATAATAATTAAATAACTGGGGTTTCCTTTCCCAAGGAAGCAAATTTCCACTTCTCTTTCTCAGACATTATTTTCTATGAAAAGTGCTTCTAGGAGCACTTCTTAGAAAATCCTGCAAAATTGACAAGGACTTCTGGGGGTTTCTTTTTACGTTCTCTGCGGGTCCGCACAAAGAGGGCATAAGCAGACCTCTCGCCCTTTAGTTTCTCGGGGATTCCCTTTTGCCATCCTGACTGTATTGTTCACTGGTCTGGGCAGCACAGGGGCTCGTTCGTGTTTCTTAATCACACAGGGCTAAGGCGCTATGTCTGTCATGGCAACAACCACACAGAAATGTGTCATGTGCACAGAGATGCGGGTTCAAGGCTTAGACAGGAAGAAGGAAAACACTGTGGTGGAGAGAGGCGTTTGAACACCTCTGCACTTACTGATTAGTAAAAACCAATCACACTTTCCTCATGTAGATTGTCTTTTCATCATTTGGGCATATTTCTTTTTTTTTAATAATATTTTTTAATTTAATTTTACTTGTTATTATTACTATTTTTTTTCTTTTTAATTTGACCAGAGAGAGACAGAGAGAGAGAGAAAAGAAAAATGAGAAAGCAAGTCACCAGGTCTGGGACTTGAACCGCAGTTGACCATACAGAAATCCAGTATCTTAATCATCATACCACCCAGCCATTTGGGTGCGTTTGGGTGCATTTCTATTGAGGCTGATCTTTTTGGGATGCTGATGTGCAAAAGATCCTGATATTTTCTATCCTTTGTTGGTTTGGGACCTTACAAAAATATTTTGCCATTTTGTCATCTCTCTCTCTTTTTTAATTTTGGCAGAGGGGGTGTGTGCTTGTCAGAGAGAAAGTGAGAAAATCACATGGGGAATTCTCCATGGGGAGTGGTCACACCACAGGCCCTCTCTCCTTCTCCCTCCTTTCAGGATTTGGGACACGCACAGGCACCATGACAGATCACCACTACCGCGCCATCAAACACAGGTAGTCCTGAGACAGAAGGCGTGTGGAGAAGAGGAACTAGACTTTGGACAGTGA